ATTTGGGCTCAGGTCATGATCTCATGGTTTGTGAGACTGAGTCTCGCATCAGGCTCTGCACAGACAATACGGAGCCTGTTTGGGATTCTCTCTCTCCCTCACTCTCTGCCCCTCCCCCACTCACACACCCACACAAGCACTCTCTAAGTAAATAAAACAAACTTTTGAATAAAGTCCTCACAGGCTGTCACCCTCAAAAATAAAAATGTAAGCTGAATCACAAGCCTAGAGCTTAAAAAAAAAAAAAAAAAAGATTTTAACTAAAGAAAGAATGTTGTAGAAACACAATGTTACCGATGTAAAAGTTTTAACACCAAGAGGCAGAATTTCTGCTGAAACGTTCAAGTCGTTATAGTTTTTGGAATGTTTAATACTGAAGGTCCAAACTATTAGCAAAATGCCTCAAAAACGTATAACGAATTATGAGACTAGAAATGATGACGTCATTCTCATCATAACCCCATCTTCAAAGAGGCAGTACTGTTCAAAAACATTTCACTCAAATCTAAACTTATGTAATCTTTTAAAGTCAAAAAAGGAAACAGGGCACGGGAGGAGGATGGGGTGGGGAGAGAACAAATCACCCAACCAGATAGTACACTACTGTTGCTACTACTAATTATTATTACTATTATTATTATTGTAAATGTGCGTGTCTATCCCCAACCTGTTTAGTTTAACCGTCCTTATTGAGACAGATAACCATCAAAGCTTGCTTCGTGTCATGCCGTGTAGGCACAAGGAAAGCGTCCAAGTCTTTACCTTCTTATCAAGCACAAAGGCACTAAAACCTTCACTGAATTTCCCTTGAGTAAGGGTCCTTCAAGTTCAAAAACTTTAGGACTCTCTGCAGACACTTTCAGAAGTCTGTAAAGAGGGAGAAAATTCAAATGTCTCTATTTCAAAGGTTTATTCTACAATGTCACTACAAACAGCGGAGGAAAAGCCGGGAAACTTATCACACATATATACAGAAAAACATGCCGGCATTGCTTTCTGTAGAAAATAACATCATTGATATAAATTTGAAAACCCCACCTGTTAGAAAAGAGGCAAAATAGATGAAACTTTCCTTTCGCTTTGTTACAGTTCTGCAAGTGAAGAGACTTTTTTAAAACACTAAGAGCTGGGGCACCTGGGTAGCTCAGTTGGTTAAGCACCTGACTTGGGCTCAGGTCATGATCTCCCAGTTCAGGAGTTTGAGCCCCGCATCGGGCTTGCGGCTGTCAGCCCGTCAGCACAGAACCCACTTTGGATCCTCTGTCTCTCTCTCTCTGCCCCTCCCCTGCTTGAGCTCTCCCAAAAAATAAATATTACAACGCTAAGAGTTAATGGCAGTATTACTTACAAGTCAGTCAAATACGATGCATATAATAACCATTCTGATAATGCATACATGCAAAACAAGTGATCATTAATGAACGCCTAATGTGTGAGTTCTCAAAAATTACATTTTTAAAGGATGACTAACAAAATTACACAATTTCCATTTTCAAACTCCCCTAAAATTAAAGATCTTGAGGACATGATTTTTACTTTATTCTACAATGCAACCCACAAAATCCAACTGCCATTTATATTATACCACCAAATAAAATTAACTCAAACCTTCCAATGTGGTCAAAGCAATACTACAGAATTAAATCAGTAACTATCCTTTGGTAGGCACACATAATTTACTCTGGTTTCTCCTAAGGAAATGGTAAAAAAAAAAAAAAAAAAAAA